CTTTTAGGGACGCTAATATTATGTTGTGCCCCGGGTTGCATAATTTGTAGATCCGGTACTGACTATGCCTATAATACATCACGTGAAAATCGCGTGATTTAATGCATGCAGATTATTAAGAGATATTGTTCAGAATATATATTTCTTTAAGAAAAAAATAAATGTAAGTCGTCAGTAAGGAAAGTTTTTAACTGCCTATTAAAAACTAAATATGATTAAATAAAATAAAAATTAACTTTTCGTTGTAAAACACAACGTAGGTATATAGAGATATTAAAATCGTAATAAACCATTGATATTTTTATAATTTGAACCGCAAAAAAGGTCTCTCCTGTTTTATATGAATAAATAAATAATATTTGAAAATTGCTTTCAATCAAATATACGTTTTACACAACATTTTTCTCCCTTAATTCATAGTATAAAACKTTCAATGACAGTGCAAAATAATTGTTGAAGATTTTTTATTGTTTTTATTACTATTTTTGTTTCTAATTCACCAATAACACATAAGTCAATAATTGAAAGTTATTTATTATTTATTATATTTTTTTTTTGTTGGATAAAAAATTGTTTGCTTAAAAAATTGTATTAAAAATAAAATTGGATTCTAGGATATTACCATGACTATAACCGACAAGGTACAACGTTGTCGAATGTCTATCGATTTAAAAACACGACTTTAGAGTATAAAATATTTGTGTTAAGATAAAAGTAGGTATATTAAAAATAATTTAAAGATTGGCTCGTTGCGTTTAAAATAAAAAATAGTTAATAGCTTTTACGTTTATAAACGATTTGAATTTATCAAATGTTTACATTCAGTCGGTATTTATTGAGTAGTCAGGTTGTCTATTACGAAATAATTACACRTTATTAAAAGTCTCTGAACCTCATCTCGTTTRACTGTTTATACTATTAAAAGAAATTTTAGATAATATTCTAGTACTTAAGTATTTTAATTCCTGCAAAGGTAAAAAAAGTGTATGATAATGAATTGATTCCCGGTTTATTGACTCATCGGAATACGGTTTTAATAATACCTATCATTTGAAAAGAAAATTAACAACATTAACATTGCGCTTAATTGATATTAATTTACGAATCATTATATTTATAATAATATTAAATAATTTTACCTAATTTATATACCTYCCAATAATATTATACTTCGTTCGTTATTTAATTTGAATTTGGGTAATTTTATAAGTCATCAGATTGAACCATACTTACAAACATTTGATAGATATCTATAACAGTGATGTTTAATTCCCTGTTTAGGCACTCATTATGAAAACATGGACACATTTTTATGAGTCCAATGACCTAAAATTTATACATACATTTTATGATTTTTGTTGACATAGTTTGAAGTATTATTATTTTCATGAGACAATGTGATTGTGAATAACTGACAACTGTTTTTTCGTAACTGAGAAACTCTGATATACAGTATAAGCACTCCAGTATTTTCCTCTCAAGAGAACACTACCCAAAAGATTACAATATATTTTGTGATAAATATTGTCCTTATGTGTTTTCATATTCTGTAACTTTATTTGTGTTTTTTAAATTTCATCAGTCTATGTACTTTTCTTATAAAATAAAAATAAATATAAAACCTACCTATGAAATTAGGACTATCTTCGGTATAACAAAATTAAATTAAATAAATAAATACAAATAATCATGGTATAGACTGAA